GCTCTGCTCCTCTCCCCTTTTGTCAGCAAGTCCTTTGTTGTTTTATTTTCTGAACTGGCGACTGCACCTCTCCCTTGCTGGGCTGCTGGAGGTCCTGGCTGAATGCTAATTCAACCCTTTGGATTTAAAAATTTAGAGGAGACACCTCATCCCTGCTGCTGAGACATTTCCCTGGGTGCGAGTGAATTTATTTTCAATTTTCCTGAGGCAGATTACACCGTGCTTATGCTGACAGAATTATTTGACAGCATCCCCTGATATTTCAGCGTCTGCTAGTGAGAGAGAGCCCAAAAAAAAAAAAAAAATCCTGAGGATGTTTTGCAGTTTGTTTTCTCTTTAATCTGCTCTCTTTGTGGCTGAGAGCAGGGAATGGATTGTGCAGCTCCGTGGCCTTGATAACGTCACGGGAACGTCCGAATTATTTGATCCCAGCCCATTAAGTGGTGAGGGGAGACAGAGGGAAAATAACAGAGGGAGGCAGAGCAGTGATCCAAATAATTGCCTAAATGCCAACCCCAAGCCAAGCTCATCCTCTGTGCCAGGAATTAGGGAGATGGATGTTCCTAATAATGGGTTTTACCAAGGGTGGCGGTGGGGAAAAAGGATGAGCAAAGCATCCGTACATAAAATATCCCAAAGTTTGGGCAGGTAGCACTTCAAAGGCAGCCTTGCCTTCCCAAATTAATGGGCCTTGGCAGCTGCAGCCCGGGATAGATTGAGCCCCTGGAGAGCTGGAGGGTTTTTCATGCATGCTCTTCCCCTCAGCTTCATTTTAATCCTGGTTTTAATTATTTCCGTGGCAATGGCAGCCTGGGTGGGTGCCTCTTTTTGGGAACCAGCAGAAGTCAGGGATTTATTTGTGGTGGGAAGAGTTTCCCCTCCACTGGGGCTGCAGATTCCTCTGGTTTCTCCCAAACCCCAGCATCTGGGAATGTTCTTGGGCTGTTCCACCTCTCCCAGCGCTCAGCCAGGTGTAAACGACTTCCCAAGGACACAGACAATGCAAATTAACTCCCAGCTCCTTCTCCAAGCCCTCCCTTTGTTGCTGTGTCCCACAAATATTCCCTGTGGGACAGGCATGGTGTGGATGGAAGGAGTTTGATGAATGCAGAGGGTGAATCTGGAGAGGAGCACGGGGGAAATGAGCTCAGCACATGGAAAGGGCAGCAGAAAGGGCAGATTTTATTGTAGGCAAGCCCTGAGGAGTCTGCAGCATCCTGGGGATGGATGTGGCACCTGTGGGTGACACCTGAGCCAGGGACAGCAGCAGGGGAGGCTGGAGCAGTGCCCGGAGTGACTGAGCTGGTTCCTTGCTGTGGGATGTGCTGGGATGTGGCCACAGCACAAAATGTTGAGGCAAAACCTGGCTGGGTCCGTGCTGGCTTTATTTTGCACCAGCTCGAGTCAGCCACTGGATTCTTGGGAGGCTTTGCTGAGGGACGTGCAGGAGAATTCACCTGGAAAATGCCAGATCCCACCTAAGAGGCATTTTCTTCCTGCTGTCAAATAAACCTGGAAGGGGCTGGAAGATGGCAAATCCACCCAAAGTCCTGAAGAATGGGTGGGGTTTTTATCCCAGTAATAAAAGATTCTAATTCAGTGGTGACCAAAAGATTGTGATTCAGTGGTGACCAAAAGATGGGGATTTAGTGGTGACCAAAAGATTCTGATTCAGTGGTGACCAAAATATTTGGATTCAGTGATGACCAAAAGATTGGGATTTAGTGGTGGCCAAAAGATTTGGATTCAGTACCGACCAAAACATTTGGATTCAGTGATCACCAAAATATTTGGATTCAGAACTGACCAAAATGTTTAGATTCAGTGATGACCAAAAGATTGGGATTTATTGATGACCAAAATATTTGGATTCAGTACTGACCAAAATGTTTGGATTCAGTGATGACCAAAAGATTGGGATTTAGTGATGACCAAAATATTTGGATTCAGTACTGATCAAAATGTTTGGATTCAGTGATGACCAAAAGATTGGGATTTAGTGATGACCAAAATATTTGGATTCAGTACTGACCAAAACATTTGGATTCAGTGATGACTGATTTAGTAGTGACCAAAAAGTTCTGATTTGATTTAGTGATGACCAAAGGCTTCCCTGCTGCTCCTGCGAGGGAGGGAATTAAAGACCGAATGGGAGGGAACTAATGGAAGATCCAGGGTGGTGTTTCCCCCTCCTAGTTTTTGATGCACATGAAACGCTGATAATTATACGATGACAGAAGTTCTGTCAGTGGGCTCTGGCAGCCTGGAAGTCACTTTTCCTCCCCTTCAGATAAATCCCTGAACAGAACCCTCCTGAGGCAGCCTCAGAGCAGGAATTGGGAACGTCCCAGCCGAGGGGGACGAGGGCAGGGACGGCGGCGGCGGTGGCACTGACGCCGCTTTCCCTTTGCAGTTTCCTGCTTTTTCAACTTCACCAGCCCGTCGGGGATCGTGCTGTCCCCGAACTACCCCGAGGAGTACGGGAGCAGCCTGCACTGCGTGTGGCTCATCATCGCCAACCCCGAGAGCAGGATCCACCTGGCCTTCAACGACTTCGACGTGGAGCCCCAGTTCGACTTCCTGGCCGTCAAGGACGGGGGCACGGCCGAGTCGCCCGTGCTGGGCACCTTCTCAGGGAGCCACATCCCCTCCTCGCTGACCAGCAGTGGCCATGTGGCCAGGCTGGAGTTCCAGACTGACCACTCCATGGAGAAGAGAGGCTTCAACATCACCTTCACCAGTGAGTGCAGTGCCTTTTTGGGGTTACCTAAAAACCAGAGGCCGGATAAAATTAGGGGAGTAAAAAGCAGTTTTAAGGGCCTTCAGTGACATTTAGGGGGGCTACACCCAAAATGGATGATGGGTCACGGGTTTTCACACTTTTATAAGTTTGGGCCATTTGAATATTGGGGGTTCATCTTCCAATTAGTCATTTACCCCAAGTTTGCTGCCCCCAACTCACTTTTGTTTCCATCTCTGGAGGCATGAGGCAGTGAGGTGTCCTTGATTGCCAGGCCTGGAGAGGAATTGTTGTGTCTGCCCCAAATGGGAAAGCAGCAGCTCACACTGCATGTGGAGTTTGGAGTTCTGCACTAAAGAACTGCAGAACTACAAATATATAAAGTATAAAAGCTCAAATCCTAAGGCATCCATCTCCCCACCCTTTCTTCAACTCACCTTCGTGTTGGAGACTGCAGAGATGGATCTTGCTAAAGCTGTTGGAATTACAAAGTAAAGCTGAAAATTGGGGATTAATTCAGATGTGCAGCTGGGTGATGGAGGATTGGTTTAGAACTGGTGGCACAGATTTTTTCTGGCTGTGAAGTTGAAAGATTCCTCTCAGGGGCTCTTTTCTGCTCAGGGAGCTGAGGTGATGCCCTGGGGGCAGCTCAGGAAGAACTGTTGGGTCTGGGATGGTCTCTGTGTCCCTTAGTCAGTGCCACCCTTGATTGCTGACAGCCAGAGATGCAAAACTTAGGAGAAAAAGGCAAATGTAGCCCTGGTTTGTGTTAGAAAGCCTTGAAATTTCCAGAGAGAGATTTGGCTCCCTGTAAAGTCCACTCCTCAAATCCACACGGTAAATTTATCTTCGTATTGTCCTGTAATTTTCCAAAGAGCCTTTTTAAACGTCTTCAGCAGAACTGAGTTTTGTTAGGCTGGCCTTTGGTGGCACGGGTAAATTAATGGCCTTTCCAGCCCTGATTGCAGAGCCTTTATTTAAAGAGAAGTAAAAAAATAAATAAAATCAGGGGCCTTAAGGAAGCCTTTGCCAAACTCCAGCAGGCTGGGGGCTCCTCAGAGGAGGGGGTTTGGGTCAGGGGGTGCCAGGAGTGAGGGTGACACCTCAGGAACGCTGCTGCTGCCTCTCCCTTTCCCCTGTGGGGAGCTGTCCCTTGCACAGGGACGTTTTTTCAGGAGGGTTTTCATGTTTCTCAGTGCTGGGGTTGACTCAGAGATGAGTTCATTTGTTCTGACTGCTTCGAGTTCTGCACTGAGCCTTCCCCAGACAGCTCCTGGCGTTTCCCTTCAGTCTGGGGAAGGGAGAGGGGGCCAGGGACAGGTACCAGGCACATCCAGCCCCTTTTCCCCTCCAGCCCTGTGGAGATCAGGGGATGGTGAGGGCAGAGATGCTCTGGGAGCAATCCAGAGCTCAGCTGGCTTTGCTCAGGTGCATTAAAGACACTGAAACCTCAGGTGTGGGATTAACCTGGAGCCTTTAATCCTTGCTAGGCTGCTCCTCTCCCAGCATGAGGAGATGTACGACATAATTATGCACTTAACAAGGAATTAAGGCCTAATTGCCAAATGTTTGGCTGGTGTAGCTTTAACTGCTGGAGAAGGTCTTAAAACCGAGCCAGGTGTCCCTGCAATCCCACAAGGACTTGGTGGCACCTGGGAAGGTGATTCCTGTGTGTGCTTTGTTCTCTCCCAGCAGGGCTGTGAATGGAGCTGAAGGGGAGTCGGTTTAGGTGGGATTTTGGGAAGGAGTTGTTCTCTGTGAGGGGCTGGGATGGAATTCCCAGAGAAGCTGGATCCCCAAAAGTGTCCAAGGCCATGTTGGATATGGCTTGGAGCAGCCTGGGATAGTGGAAGGTGTCCCTGCCCATGGCAGGGGTGGCACTGGATGAGCTTTAATGTCCCAGCCCAGGCCAGCGTGGGGCTCTGTGATGTGGCAGTCACAGAATGTGCTGAGGTGACTTTTTAAACTTGATGCCTTAAATCTTGCCACTTTTCCCATCAGCAGTTCTCTTCTGTCCCCTCTGGGCAGAAATTTTCAGGGTTTTTTTTAAAATCTCACCCTCTTTGGAGTATTTTTCTATGTGGAAGGTGACTCAGTTTTCCAGGACCTTTCCTGCTGCTGTTCCTGCTGTATCCCATCCTCCGATGGACACCAACACCTTTAACCTCCCCCTTCCTCTCCTGCTGCACCTGAGGCAGAAACCGGGAAGGGGAAAATTTCAACTTTCCTCAATTTGAGGCTGCAACATCCTCATTTTGGGGATGGGGGAAAGATGCATGAGACTCTTAATCTCAGGATCATGGGCTTAAGCCCTACATTGAGCACCAGCTGTAAAATTGGAACCCTTGAATGCGGGGATGATCTTACAGAGGACAAAAGTAAAATATGAATGGCATTCTTCCCCTCTGGACAGAAATTTTCAGGTTTTTTTTTTTATTCTCTCTCTATTTGGAGTATTTTTCTATGTGGAAGGTGGCTGAAAAGGTGACTCAATTTTCCAGGGCCTTTCCTGCTGCTGTTCCTGCCAACACCTTTAACCTCCCCCTTCCTCTCCTGCTGCACCTGAGGCAGAAACCGGGAAGGGGAAAATTTCAATTTTCCTCAATTTGAGGCTGCAACATCCTCATTTTGGGGATGGGGGAAAGATGCATGAGACTCTTAATCTCAGGGTCGTGGGTTGGAGCCTCACATTGGGCGCCAGCTGTAAAATCCAAACCCCTGAACATGGGGACGGTCTTACAGAGGACCAAAGTAAGAAATGGCATTCTTCCCCTCTGGACAGAAATTTTCATTTTTTTTTTTTTTTTTAAATCTCTCTCTATTTGGAGTATTTTTCTATGTGGGGCTAGGTTTGGGGGAGGGGAAAAAAGATGCTGAGACTCTGAATCTCAGGATCCTGGTTCGAGCCTCACGTTGGGCGCCAGCTGTAAAATCAGAACCCCTGAACGGGGGGACAATCTTACACAGGACCCAGGTAAAAGATGAATGGCATTCTTCCCCTCGGGACTAAATCCTGTTTATTCAGGAGCCACCTCGGATCCAGGCAATGCCTCAGGGGGTAACAGAGGCTGAGGGGGCTGGTGGTGTCCAGAAGAGAAAAAAGAGCCTGAAGGTGTCATCCAGGGGGTTTGAGCCCAGGGAAAAGGGGGGCAGAGCGGAGGGACCACATCCATTGGGACACAGGTGAGGAGAGGCAGAGGGGAGGGCAGACTGGGGAGAGACCACCACACCTGAGGCTTAGTGGGGAGAGATACCAAGCACCCAGTGTGAAACAACAACTAAATAAGATTATTTAGTGCAATACAACAAATTCTGACTCTCCTCTCCTCCTCTCCTCCTCTCCTCCTCTCCTCCTCGTCCTGGCAGCGTTCCGGCACAACGAGTGCCCGGACCCCGGCGTGCCGGTGAACGGGAAGCGCTTTGGGGACAGCCTGCAGCTGGGCAGCTCCGTGTCCTTCCTGTGTGACGAGGGCTTCATCCGCACCCACGGCGCCGAGACCGTCACCTGCGTCCTGCAGGAGGGCAACGTGGTGTGGGACAACGCCGTGCTCCGCTGCGAAGGTCAGCCCACCCTCCTGCCCACTGGGCAGGGACTCCTGGCCTGCTTTGGGCTGGGAGGGGCAGTAAAGATCCCATCTCGCCCCTTCCCATGGGTAGGGATGCTTCTGCTGTCCCAGAGTGCTCCAGCCTGGCCTTGGCACTGCCAGGGATCCAGGGGCAGCCACAGCTGCTCTGGGAATTCCATTGCAGCTCCTCCCCACCCTACAGCCAAGAATCCCTTCACCATATCCCCAAATCTCCTCTTTTCCAGTTCAGAGTCATTCCCTGTGTCCTGTCCCTCCATCCCTTGTCACAAGTGCCCCTTTAGACACTGGAAGGAGCTCTGAGCTCTCCTTGGAGCTTCTCCTGGTGAATGTTCACAGCTTGGTGGGAGAGAGATTCTCCTCTTCTTCTCTTCTTCTTCTTCCCCTCCTCCTCATCTTCTTCTTCCCCTCCTCCTATTCTTCTTCTTCCCCTCCTCCTATTCTTCTTCTCCTCATTTTCTTCTTCTTCTCCTTTTCTTCTTCTTCTCCTCCTCTTCTTCTCTTCCTCCTCCTCTTCTTCTCTTCCTCCTCCTCTTCTTCTCTTCCTCCTCTTCCCCTCCTCCTCTTCTTCTCCTCCTCTTCTTCTTCTCCTCCTCTGCTTCATCTCCTCTTCCTCTTGTCCTCCTTTTCTTCTTCTCCTCCTCCTTTTCTTCTTCTCCTCCTCTTCTTCTCTTCCCCAGGTGAACATTCCCAGGTGAACAGAGATTTTTTTTGAGGAATTTTGCAGCCTTTTGGGATCCAGAATCAAGGTTCTGCCTGTCAGGGTCTCGCTCTCACATTCCACCGTGTCCAGCCAACACTTTCCAGGGTTTTCCACGTCTCTGGAAGTTTCTGTCTGCACAGAGGAGTTTTCTGGGGAGGAGGTTTCAGTTCAAATATTCCTGAGCTCTGTTTATTTGTTTATTTTCCTTTTTTTTTTTTTTTTTGGTGTGGAATGAACACTGGGGAGTATTTTTATTGCATTTGTTTGATGATTTGATGATCAGTTCTTGTTACAACAGGTGTTTTTCTAATAACAATAATATTAAAAGGCTCTGGTTTAGTGATGCCTCAAAGCTTCCCTGGAGGGAATGAAACAACAGGGAATGGAAGATCCAGGGAGATGTTTTGCCATCCTGGTTTTTGATCCGTGTAAAATATCTGATATTTATGTAATGACAGAAGTTCTGTCGATGGGCTCTGGCAGCTGAGAGGCAAAAATTCTGCATTTCCATCTCCTGGCCACAACAGCCAGCCCTGCTGTGGGGAGAGCTGGGCTGAATTAAAGGCTTTAATTCAGATTTCAAAGCTTCTTTAAGACTTTCAAGCCTCTCCTCTGGAAAAGAGAAGTGAAGAAGGAGCTCATTAGGACTGAAAATCTTCCTGAGCCCTGTGTTCTCAGGAAAGTGATGCTCTGCTCTGGTATTTGCAGCAATTTGAATAACAAGTGCTGAGCTCTTGAGAAGCAGCCCTGGAATATTGAGAAATAATTTGAGTAATTGGCCCTGCATTGCCTGAGCAGCAGGAATTGCACAATCCTGGCCATTGTCTTTGGGATTGAAGGAAGGAATCAATTGTCTTCAACAGCTTTTATAGAATAAAAAGCTGGACTTTTTGTATTCTTACATAATTTTGCTCCTGACAAAAGGTAGGTTTAATTCAGGGATCCTGTTACTTTCAAAGCACAGACCTTGAAATTTGCGTATTTTTAAGTATGGAAGGGGAAACATTCATTAAATAATACACTTCTAATCAACTTTTCTATTTGATAACCTTCTGCCTTCTCCTCCTGATCACTCTGGCGATTTCTTTGACTCACCCTTCAGTCTGGACATTATAATTACCCTTTTTAAGCAAGGAGAAAAGCCCAGAGATCTAAAGTCCTGCTCAACACTTGAAAAAAAATTAATGGGAATGAAGGAGACAGAGAAAAGGGTGGAAATCCTGACAGGATACGATGCAGCTTTGGGGCAGAGAGGAAGAAATAATTGCTTTGGAGCCAGCTGAGATCAAATGACTCTCATCTGCCACCCTTCAGAGCAGCAGGGGAGCTTTGGGGCTGGCACTGGTGCATTTTTTGGGGTGGCACAGGGGCACGGTGACATTGGGGCTGGCCCTGGATCGCTCCTTGGAGGACAAAACCTGGGAGTTCCTGGGGCTGTGGGATTTTTGAGCCTCTGGACCCTCAGAGCCAGTGTCCTTTTCCCACAAAATGCAATCGAGTGCCTGCAGCTCCTGGGGACCAGGGTGTGGAATTAATGCCCTGCTCTGGTGATGTCCCTGGTGGCAGCAAAGCCATGACTCAATTAGCAGGGCTGGGAGAGAATTTTCTGGCACCTGAAATGCCGAGTGACCTTGCAGTTTCCTCTGCTTTTATATCCAATCATTATTTTACACCCCGGCCCCTCCGAGCAGGGCCCAAGGTCAGCCCTGCTGGCTCCCAGGGGGACAGCGTCTGCATTCGGAGCTGAAAAGGCAATTTCTGAGCTGTTAATGTTGGTTTTTCGTCTGGCCCTGGTGATTTTTAACTCGTGGGGGGACAGAAATGCGGGGAGGGGGTTTCAAGGGTGGGGACATCTCATGGTGCTGCAGCTCTGTGACGTTTTTCACCCCAGTTTTAAGGATGTGGCACTCAGGCACGTGGTTTAGTGGTGGCATTGGCACTGCTGGGCTGGATGAGCCTGAAGGTCTTTCCCAGCCTGGATAATCGAGTGATTTGTGTCCTTTTTGTGTCCCCAGCACCCTGTGGGGGCCACCTGACATCACCCAGTGGAACCATCCTGTCCCCAGGCTGGCCTGGCTTCTACAAGGACTCGCTGAGCTGTGCCTGGGTCATCGAGGCCCAGCCAGGCTACCCCATCAAGATCACCTTTGACAGGTGCTCACCACCACGGGCAGCCCCCAAATTCCCTGGATTTGGGTGGTTTTGGTGATTCCAGGGTGCAGCCAAGACAGGGGACTGAGCTGCTCCACGTCGTGCCCGGCTCTGAGGTTCTCCCCTCTCCCCTTTTTTTATTTATGAGCTCCTGGCAGGGAATTAAAATCACCCAGCCCCGAGGGGAATGGTTCTGTCTGAACCACTCCTGCCCATCTTAGACACGTTTTTGGGGGCTGAGCTGCCACATATTCCTTGGGCGGGGGGAGCAGCAGGGAATGCTGAGGTTTTTTGGCTTTCCCTGCATTCCTGGCCCTGGGGCTGGCTGTGTGGGAGGGCTTGTTCAGGGATGCAGATGGATACAGATCCAGATATCCTGAAAATCAGCTGCTCTTTGGATTCCTGGCAGTGCCAGGCATGCCCCAGAGAGCAGAGAGGAGCTGCCACTGCCACCACTGCTGTGACATTTGGGGCTCCATGGCTCTTTCAGCTCTGTTTCATTCGCTGTCTCAACACCTGGGCAACATTTTAGGTGGGGGCCAGCAGGTGAGGAGGTGAAGGATCACCAAAAAATCCCCAAACACGAGTGAGGTGCCATGAGTGAGACACTCAGGCAGAAGAAAGGACCCACCCCTGCCCCCGTGGTGGCTCCAGGAGGGAATGAGGAGAAGGGAGCAGTGCTGGGGTTTCATTTCCCTCCTGTCCCTCCCAGGTTCAAGACAGAGGTGAATTATGACACCCTGGAGGTGCGGGACGGCCGCTCCTACTCCTCTCCCCTGATTGGGGTCTACGATGGCACCCAGGTGCCCCAGTTCCTGATCAGCACCAGCAACCACCTCTACCTCCTGTTCACCACGGACAAGAGCCACTCCGACATCGGCTTCCAGATCCGATACGAGAGTAAGGGCACCTTGCTCCTGGAATTCCCTGGAATTCCCAATCTCCAGCAGCACCACAGCCTCGCTCAGGGCCCCCTGGGTCTCTTTTTCCCCATGCCAGGCAGCTCACACTGCTCAAGGACTGGGCATGGGAAGCTGCTGCCAGTGGAGGAGCAGTTTTTGCTTTTCCTGGCATCCCGGACTGGTTTGGGTTGGAAGGAAACTTAAAACCCAAAGGCAGGGACAGCTCCCACTGTCCCAGGTTGCTCCGAGCTGATCTTCTCTGGGAATGCCATCCCAGCCCCTCCCCACCCTCACAGAGAAGAATTCCTTCCTATATCCCACCCAAATCTCCTTTTCCAGCCTGGAGCCATCCCCCCTCTGGTGGTTTGTAGAAGCTTTTTATTTTTATTTTGGCATCTGCAGAATATTCTTGATTTTAGGAGGCAGAGCTGAGCTCACAGAATCAGAATATCCAGAGTTGGATCCCACAGGGATCGTGGAGTCCAACTGCTGGCCCTGCACAGGACAGGCCCAAGAATCCCAGAGCAGTTCCTCTCTCCATTTCTTCATCTCACTTTGGGGATTTTCCTCTCTCCATTTCCTCCCCTCCCTTGAAGGAATTCCATCTCTCCATCCCCTCATTTCAGAGATTTTCCTCTCTCCATTTCCTTCTCTCAATCTGAGGATTTCCCTCTCTTTATTCTCTCACTTTTGGGATTTTCCTCTCTCCATTTCCTCCCCTCCCTTGAAGGAATTCCCTCTCTCAATCCCCTCATTTCAGGAATTTTCCTCTCTCCATTTCCTCCTCTCACTTTGAGGATTTCCCTCACCTTATCCTCTCACTTTTGGATTTTCCTCTTTCCATTTCTTCTTCTCACTTGTAGGATTTCCCTCTCTCCATCCCCTCGCTTTGGGAATAACCAGCAAGATTTGGGATGATCCCATGGGGAATTCCTTGTCTCCCTTTCACCCTCTGACTCTGGGGATAACCGGGAAGATTCGGGAGGATCCCATGGGGAATTCTCTGTCTCCCTTTCACCCTCTGACTTTAGGGATTACCAGGAAGATCTGGGATGATCCCATGGGGAATTCCCTGTCTCCTGGTCACCCTCTGACTTTGGGGATTACCAGGAAGATTTGGGAGAATCCCACGGGGAATTGCCTGTCTCCCTTTCACTCTGGGGATCACCAGGAAGATTTGGGATGATCCCATGGGGAATTCTCTCTTTCCCTTTCACCCTCTGACTCTGGGGATAACCGGGAAGATTTGGGAGGATCCCATGGGGAATTCCTTGTCTCCCTTTCACCCTCTGATGCTGGGGATCACCAGGAAGTTTCAGGATGATCCCATGGGGAATTCCTTGTCTCCCTTTCACCCTCTGACCCTGGGGATAACCGGGAAGATTTGGGATCTTCCTTTCTCCCTCTGACTTTGGGGATCACCAGGAAGATTTGGGATGATCCCATGGGGAATTCTCTCTTTCCCTTTCACCCTCTGACCCTGGGGATCACCAGGAAGCTTCAGGATGATCCTATGGGGAATTCCCTGTCTCCCTTTCA